TGTTTGCGTGGGTTTTCTCTGGGTACTCTGGCTTCCGCCCACAGTCCAGTGACATGCGGTTTAGCTGTATCGGTGGCTGTATATTGCCCACAGTGCCAGCATGTGTGCGTCCTGCTGGGTGGGCTGGGCTTCAGGCTTGCAGAGATTTCCTGCTGCATGGCGTGGCAGATTGATGGATTGGAGCCCTTGTTTGTTTTGGCACAGGTGTTACTACTGGGTCTGCTGTCTGTAACAGTGGTAATATTAGTACTATATCTTTCTCTTGTCACATCCCTGTCCTGCTGGCATCATTTCCCAATTCCAGTTTCTTCCGTTCCTTCCCCCCCTTCCCATCCCAACAGCCTAAGTATCCCTCTGTTTTTGGCAATATGCTGTCAAAACGTCGGATCGGGAGGGAGAGTTCCGGTGGGACCGGGTGCTGGGGGGCAGATTCGCTTTGGAGTCTGTGGACATGTGGCGCTTGTGCGCCGTTTTGTGCGCGTTCCTATTTTACTCCGCTCATCACTCCGTGTTCCTGCCGGCTAAAGGACACGCGATTTTTTTTTTTTTGCGGCGGGGAGCAACGCAAATGCCGGCAAGTGGGAGCATCCTGTACGTCCGCAGAAGGGATGACGACCACGCGGGGGGAGGGGGGGTGCTGTGACATGGCGTTTTCTGAAAGGGCACGGGGGTGGGGGGGGGGGGGGGGAAGCGTATCGGTCGCGGGGAGTTGGGCCCGGGGCTGCGAGTGTTCACCATCTGGTCTGAGAGGGCGACGGAGAGCAATAGGGCGCAGAGAGTGAGAGGGAGAACGAGAGAGAGGATAGAGAGAGAGAGGAAAGAGAAGAAGGTGATGTGGAAAGAGGGACGGACGAAGAAGAGAAGATGGGGGGAAAGAGAGCAGGAGAGAGAGGGTAGCTGGGAGGGAGTGAAGACAGATTATGTGGTTTGGAAGCACGGAGTGGGTAAGTGATAAACTGAAGGAGCACAAGCGGAGGCCAGGAGGGGAGGCCAGGAGGGGAGGCCAGGAGGGGAGGCACTGTCGAAGCGTCACCGCGGGAGTGCCTGCCATTGACATTTCATATCAATCTGGGTGAAGTGGAACATGAAAGCCGCACGTCACTCAACCACTGTGGAAAAGGCCTATAGGTGTGAGGGGTGAAGAGTGTGCAGCCTGCACTTATGATATCAGTGTTTGGCACCACCGGTGCTTTTCAGATAGCGGCAGTGCTGGAGAATACAATCACTGGGCAGTCAAATGAGTACAACAGACGGCGGTGACATGCTTTGGCTGAAATATCACGGCAGTAGGATTCAGACCCTGGCATATGATATCATCTCAGTGCAGGATACTCACTGCCTTTTGGTAGTAGAACATTAGGTGAAGTTTTTGGGTGAGAAAATGCTTCTCGTGTCCACGTCCCTGAGAGTGCAGTTTCAGGGCAGAGCTGATATCGTGTCCACATCCCTGAGAGTGCAATTTCAAGGCAGAGTTGATGTCATGTCCCCATCCATGGGAGATCACTCTCAGGAGACTCTGATATTTTGTCCCCATCCCTGAGAGAATATTTTTAGGGCAGTGCTGATGTTGTGCCCACATCCCTGAGAGAGCAATTTTAGGGCAGTGCTGATGTTGTGCCCACATCCCTGAGAGTGCAGTTTCAGGACAGCACTGATATCGTTTCCAAATCCTTGGGAGAGTAGTTTCAGGGCAGATTTGATGTTTTGTTGAGATCCAAGACAATGCCGTTTCGGAGCAGCAGGAATATTGTGTCCACATCCCTGAAAAGTCAAGCACGCCGGCTGAGCATTCCCCGAGGGAGCCGGCCTCGTCTCCGGTGCCAGGGGCCCATAAGGGATAGTTAGTTAGTGATCCGTATGGGGGCTGTATGAGCTGACAGGCTCTTGACACCGGAGCGGAGCGGGGGTGTGCGTGTGCTTCCAAGCGTACCCAGGACGGAGGCGGGAGGAAGGTGGGAGGGCCCTTGGCCCGCTCCCGCACGGCACCTCTTTCTCCCCGGCAGGCCGCCACTTTCCTCTGATCTTCTCAATCGTCTGGTTTGTTTATTCTGTCTTTATTGTGTCTCTCTAGGCCCACACTACTCCTCTGGTTGTTAACACTGAAACACTTGATGGCTCTCCCTACGTAAGGATTATATTTCTCCTCTCCTCTCTCTCTTTCTCCTCTCTCTCCCGTCTTTCTGTCTCTCTCCTTTAACCTCCATTCTATATCTTCTCTTCCCTCCATCCTGTCCAAACCCCTCTTTACCAGTTGGGTTCAGTTCTTTCTTCCATCGTCTCAGATTGATCTTGTCTCTTCTAGTTCTTCTTGTCCAGGTGGTTTTGGTCTGCCCCTCCATTAGTGTTTCATCACCCTTTTCCAACATCTCTCCATCTGTCAGCTCCTCAGTTTCCCACAAAGAAAGTGCTGGAAGCTCCCTGTCCCTCAGTGTGTGTTGGGCTGTGGATAAATTTACTTTTCAAGCCTGTATTTTTCCTAACCCCTGAAGTATCACATGTCATTTCTTCCTCTAATGCGTTTCAAAGGATACGTTTCGTTATTAAGTTTTGCATCCCATCCAGAGAGCCTCGAGCTTTCTGCTTCCTGGGATCCGCTCCAGGTTTGCCAAACACAGGTATGGAAAACAGATGGACGGATTAATAAGCTCCGACTTGATTCAGATTGGTGGGTACCAATACATTTCTGCTCGACTTACATTAGTGACATTTAGAAGCTTCTTTTAGTTCAGTTCATATGTACACAGCAAAATAGTATTTTTATGGTGTCATGTTAAACCACGGTACCCAGGTCCCGTGCAGCGTACCGCGCTCGACAAGGAAGATCAGTAGCTGGCCGTTTCAGGCCAGGCAGCTTCCCCAGATTAATGCTGAAAGAAATGGCGCGTTAATGATTGTGGTCTATTTTAGTGGCTGCGTTTATGTAATAGGGACGTAAGCCTTTGGTTCCAGATTAAGGATACATCTTGAACCTGCCGCTGCTGCGCTGTTGAATAATTCAGACGCTGCTGCCCAGAGGTGCTGCTCTTCAGGTTCCATGCTTTTATAACAACTTACTCTGCATTTCAGTGGCCGGAGGTGTCTTTCCGCTTTCTGGAAAATCGAACGGTTAAATAGCTCCTTTGTTATTGATTGTTCCACAGGTTAAATCCTGTAAGTGGAAGTATTGAAGTAAGGTGCCATCGCAGCATTTCTCAAAATATAGGAGGGCCCGTCTAATTTTGGGATCCACGGGTGCCGGAAATCATTTTTCAATTGGTCCTTCATTCTCGAAATGGATTTGGTTTTCTTACAGTTTTAGCTGCTGTTTGGAATTTGATATGGCTTTGATATGAAACTGCTATTTGATATAAAACTGTTATGTTTTCCGGGGTCAAAGGGCAGCTTTTTGTTACATCATGCCTGGAGGTCATTGTTCTGCCCTATATTGACCACTGGTTTCCTTCGGATGCCTCCTTAACCATAAAGTCATAAAGTTGTGGCCATTATTAATGACAGAAATTAGTTTCTTAAGGGTTTTAGCCCCAATACCTGCGCAGGTGTTACGTACAGTCAGGTTAGGTACCTGCATAATGTACAGTCAGCTGCAGTACCTGTGCTGGTGTTACATACAGTCAAGTTTGGTACCTGCATAATTTACAGTCATCTGCAGTACTTGTGCTGGTGTTACATACAGTCAGGTTAGGTACCTGCATAATGCAGAGTCAGCTGCAGTACCTGCGCTGGTGTTATGTACAGTCAGGCCTGATGCCTACATAGCGTACAGTTGGCTGCAGTGCTGTTATGCACTGTCATGTCATTGAGCTGCATGGCACATCACCCTGGCCCACTCTGCTTATCTGCTGTGATTTTTTTTTTCTTACTGCAGTGCCAGGAGACTGAGGGAATGCGTTTTAAATGTCTGATGAATGCCAGGTTCTCATCCCCCTTTCAGTTTTTCCTTTTTCAGTTTCCTTATTTTTTCCATCCACGGACAGTTGTCTTTGTTGTCTTCATCTACTTTTGACTGTTTTCCATCTCCCTTTGTAATTCTCTCTTTTCCTCTCCCACGCATCCACATTCCTGGTTGCACATACACACAAAATTCCTCCTTCTCTCTCCTATCTCTCTCTCCCTATCTCTCTCTCTCACTCTCTCTTTCTCCTCTGCCAGTCCTGTCTGTTTTTTAGTTCTCCTCCTGTCAAAGGGTAGTGGGACACCTCTCTCTCACCGTTATGTACCTCCTTGTTCTCTGTGCTTCAGACCGTCAGGTGTTTCTGTAGGTGTTCTATGGGCAAAAAAATATATATTGAACGTATGTTTGTACCGTATATATGGTTGGTCATCTGACAAGTGCTGCCATCATGTGGTCAGAGGAGGTAGTGCGACTCTCTCTGGACAGCAGGTGTCTGTGTCAGGATGTTCCAGTTCTAGTGTCTAGTGCTGTGCTGCATAGGGCTGAAGCCTCCCATGTGCTTGTTTGAGAGTGTGTGTGTTTCTTTCTGTGTGTTTGTGGGTGATTCTGTTTTTTCTTACGGTTGGGTATCTCCTTGCTCCCCGCTGGAGGTAAACTCTAAGGGGTCTTTGTGCTAATGAGTGTTATCCTGCCCTCCCCCTCTTTCTCTCTCCCTCTCTCTCTCTCTTTCTCTCCCCCTCTCTCCATCAGGTGAATGGGACGGATGGAGAAGTGGAGTACGAGGAAATCACTCTGGAAAGGGTGAGTCTTCTGACCCATTCAGTATTCAAACATCATGGAAGATCTCCGCACGTACCCTCGACTGTCACGTCAGTCCGCTTTTAAAAAGTAGCGGAAGAAAGGAAAGCAGAGCAGTATGTTCTTGGCGAAATGTTCAGAATAGGTTGTCCGTTCTGGCCATGTGTCCATATGAGCCCGAAGATGTGTATTTGAATTGGATTGTGAAAATACCCAGGCGATCGATAAATCGATAAGCATTCTGGAGATTAATCTGCGGGCTGCTGCCTGAGAGGTTCCTCTGAGCTTTTCAGCCTTTAATAATCAGATACTTATTGATTCCCCGCAGCAGTGCACTTTGGAGATCGTCTCAGAGCAGTGCCATGCATTATGTTTGTGCTTTGCTAACAATTAAACAATTGTGTGTGTGTGTGTGTGTGTGTGTGTGTGTGTGTGTGTGTTTTTCCCCAATTCCGGGTGTGTCACATTTAATCGGAATCACCCCACAGGACAACATCTCTGCTGAGTGCTCTTCAGTATTGCACAAGAGTTTATGCAAATAACATGCATGGAAAATGTATATTTATTCACAGAGAAAGAATGTGTGCATATTCTGATAAATACATACATCGTATACACATGCCATATATTATGCATGTTTTTTTTTGCAAAATAAATGTGCAGCTGTACAACATCCAACATTTTCATAATTTTTTCATTATTTCTGAATTCGATCAATAGGAGAATATAATGAAGATGGGTCAGACATTTGCTTCACACCTCCAGGGTTGCGGGTTCGAGGGCTCTGTGTGTCAGGATTTTACATGTTCTGTCTGTCTTGCATGAGTTTCCTCCGACCTCTGAATTCCTCGCACTGTCCAAAGACATGCCTTTAGGCTAATTGTTCTCTCCAAAATTCGTAGAGTACGACTATGTGCGCATGTTTCTGCCCTGTGATGGGCTGAGATGGGTTCCTGGCAACCTGACAGCCCTGAAGGATGGGTTTTGACAAGTCCTAAAATATCTGGCACTTCAACAATAGAAACACACGCAAGATTCAAGCCCCCACCCCTTGGAAGTGTGAAGGAACAGCGCCACCTACTGAGCTGCCGTATCATAACACTGTTATTACTTCTCAGCTGGATGGATTGTGATCAGTGAGCTTGCGTGGTTTCTGGCAGAAGCAGCTGTGAGAAAATTCCATTTGACATCCATGAGTTACATCATTATAACCTTTGAAAATTTAAGTCCCTTTGTCTAAATTATTAAACTTCAGTTATTCAAGCACAGTATTTCCATGCTTAAAAAAATAAATAACTATCAGTCCCAGTTCTGACTTGTGGACTTAGTTCATTCCTTATTAATTGTTAACGTACTATTAATTATTAGCTTGAGAAGTGATCTGCTCCAGACGCCTATTAAATGCCAAGAGCAATGACCTTATGAACTTGCTGTTGCATGCAGACCTGCTCCGACCTTTACATTGTTTTGGCTTGTATGTAATCACCCCCAGACTCCTTCTCGCTAATATCACCCTTTCTGTGTGTCTGAGCACAGGGTAACTCAGGTCTGGGCTTCAGCATTGCAGGGGGGACAGACAACCCCCACATCGGTGATGACTGCAGCATCTTCATCACCAAGATCATCCCAGGAGGGGCAGCTGCACAGGACGGCAGACTCAGGTAGGGCGTCTGATGATGACTGATCACTCCGCAGCCCAGGCTGTACCGCCAACACGCGTCGGCTCTTCCATCTGGCTGAGGAGGGGTCGGGGGTTTGGTGCTGACACCCCCACTGATTCTCCTATCATGGTACAAACCACCCTTCTGCATGGCTCGAGGCTTTCCAAGGTCATAGCACTGGTGTGAGCCTCATCTGGCCTCACAATCAGTGGGACCAGCCAAGTGTTGACAGAAGTGATGTCATCATTGGAGGGGGGGGGGGTGGCAGCACAAATATGTAGATTGGATTCCTCCATTAAACGGGGTACTTGTCATCTGGGCCTACCCAAGGCATAAGCGAACTAAGCCGCTGCATAGCTAGGGCCATATGACCACCAGGGGGCCCCCCGTCTGATGAACTTGTCAGGATGGGAAGGAAGATGACGAATGAAAATTAGATGAATCAACTTTTGCTTAGGGCCCCGAAAACGGTAATTCCAGCCCTGCTTGTCTTTCACTATACAGACATCATAAAGATCCTTGTGTGAAGTGAGCTCACAACTTCCCAGTCGTCGCCGTACATATTCTGTGTTTGTTGTGATTCACCTCAGCTGGGGGGGGGGGGGTTGCACCCCAAACACAGCTCCTGCTTTTCCTGTAAAGCAGAGGCCTGCACACCGCCTCCTCAGTCTGTGACTTATTCAGACTCTCGTTCTGCATGACTGTCCTCTTAATCTGCAGCTTTGCAAAGAACAGAAGCTGCCGACTCCTTTTTTTCCCGTCTGTTAAAAAAAAATAAACGGCTTTTCCACACAAAACACGTTTCCTGCCCTCCTGCCCGGAGCAGCGTGTCAGTAACCTAAATTCCAGATTTGCAGTCTGCCGTTTCTGCCGTTCCCGATAAATTTCCGCCGTCCTCCGTGGATAAACTAATCGCGTCGAGGAATAGAGGGACGGCTCTTTCAGGTCCATATTGCGAGTCAGGCCCAGCTGGGTCTGTGTGAGAAGCACCTCCGATCTGGTGGGCAACCAGTGTGCTACACGCTAAGGTTTCACACCCGCCTACAGACGACTGCCTTGGCAACCGAAGGGGAAAGGGGCAGCCGGGAATGGGACACGGAGCTGGTGATCCAGGCACACTGGATAAGGTATCCCGGTGCGGGAATGGGACACGGAGCTGGTGATCCAGGCACACTGGATACGGTATCCCGGTGCGGGAATGGGACACGGAGCTGGTGATCCAGGCGCACTGGATACGGTATCCCGGTGCGGGAATGGGACACGGAGCTGGTGATCCAGGCACACTGGATACGGTATCCCGGGGCGATAGCTATGCCATTCCGGTGCTCGGAGGGTCGGAAGCCTTTCCCAAATAACCAGGTCAAATCTGACCGTCTGACTCCCAGGCAGGAACAGCGCCAACAGTCATCTGCCCCAGTCATCTGCAGATTAATTTCCACTACTTAAGAAATTAAAACTGGTGATTTTTTTGTGTTTTTTTAAATATTAATGTTTCTAAATATAGTTACTACTAATTATGATCTATAATTTAAGAAAATAACATGTTGTGTCCAGTTTTATTATCAAGCCAGTAATTTAGATTCTCGAATGCTTTGGATGTCACAGTAATGTAATAAGTGCTTATTCATTTTAGATCCCATGTAGCAGGTAATAAACAGTAATGACTAATGAGACTTTTAGGTTATTTTTAACTAGAAGTTTCAAAAATATTACTAGTAATAACCCTCGGGATTTATGTGAGGGGTCTGTGAAGTCATCGTAATTCCCTAGATCTTGGATTCAACTAGCAAATCACACACGTCTGACACACAGGAATATATAGTAACAGCTGCTATATGTACACAAATATCTATGACTGTGACAGAGCTAAACCGACATAAGGATGTGTATAAGCTAATAATAGAGCTGGTAAGCAAACCAGATTGAGAAGCTGAGACAGTCGTTGTACTAAGTAGAGCATTAAACAGTCAGGTGATGGAGCGACACTAGGAAAGATTGGCGTGTTGAGTTTAGCTTGTTTCTTCACTGGCTGTGGTCGGAAGGAGACTGGATCAAGACGGCAGGCAGGATTCCAGTGAGACCGACCCGTGACTCAAATCTCCTTGCAGAAGCTTCTTGATTACGGGCCAAGACGTTTACAGCTGGGGTTAGAGGAGCAGAGCTCAGGCTTGTTTGCTGGAATTTCAGACATTGAATTTGTGATTCGGCGCTCCAGTGCGCTGCCAGTGCAACTGAGGTGGTAAAAGGGAAACCAGATTTTTTGGAAGAGAGTTCCAGTGCTCTACCCACTGAATACCTTTAGCATATGAGTTGGGGTGCAGTGAGGGGGTTGATCTCCATGTGTCCTCTGGAACTGACGGGGTGATTGAGTTGGCCCTTGGCTTCACTGCAGCTTTCCGGTCCACTGGGCCTTCTGAGTTGTGAACTGAGCCCTATGACAATATGAGCTATTGTTCAAAAATGTCCATAAGATTCACACAACACTTGATGCTTTCAAAACCTGTATATAACATCCCAGATCTCAGATTTCTAAGTGTATGGACACCAAACGGTTCTTTATATGTATTCAGAACATACCATTTAACATTAGATCCATTGTGTTCCCTGCATGTGGAATTTTGCAGTGCATCTAGTCACTGCGTGAACTCAGATATTGTCACAGCTTAGCTCCAGATTCAGGTTTGTGGCTTGCTCTTGATTTACAGTGCATGTTTTTCAGTGCAGCTGATGACTTGTGTGTCCCTGGAACTATTTATGATGTTGTTGCCCATTCGTTTGCCCATTAAATGTTTCCTGCAGATCTCTAGTCCTGTCAGCTGGGACCTAGATGAGAAGATGCATGTGTTACGGTGTTTGTAGCTCCCACCCCTAATTCTGTTCTGATTAACAGTGCAGCCACATGCTGTACTGAATTATTGACAAGGCATACCATTAGCGCTTAATGTTAGCATTAGCATGCATTGTGTCACCATTGCCTTTGTGCGCACAAATAAATTCAACAAAGGCTTATTGGTTTAATTCTGTACCATTGGTTGTTGTTTTTGTTATTTGTGGTATTTTACATATTGTTTCACTTTCTTTCACTCTGACAAACTGTCAAATAGGCAGAACCAGGCTACAATGAGCACGTTTTGGCACAGTAATTTCATGCAGACTGTGCCAGCAGCTACAGAATGGTCACATTGTCTGAGGCTAGTTGCTACATATGTGCCACCATCGTGTTTATTCCCGGGACAATGGGGATGGTCCTTGTGGCCTTAATCTGAACTGGAGGACTGGGTTGGGGTTTTGTATAAACTGAACAGCCAGCTTTTCTTGGGGCTGAGCCGTGTTGCTCTCAGAGTATTGAACCTAGGGTTCCTTTCTTGTTGGCCAGAGTCTCGTCTCTGGAGCCATGGTTTTTGTGAGCTGGGGTCTTGGCCCCCGGTTTGAAGTTTTGTTTTGCAGCCTGGTTGTTTTGTTTGGGGGGCCAGCCTTATCATTAGCCAATGATTTGTTTTTAATTGGTGAGTGACAGTGAAGGAGGCGGGCCAGGGCCCAATCAGCTTTCAGCTGGGGTCAAAACCCTTGTGGTCCCGCCCCTGTATACTCCCCTGCACCAAACAGACTTTAGAGCTGTCAGACAGGAAACCTGGTACCGTAGATTGGATGGTACAGTTCAGGTTATCCTGTCTGGATCTTGTCAGATGCTGGAGTCCTTTTGTAATGCAAACTTTGTTGGCCTGTTGCATAGAACTCTGGGTCACAGTGTAAATTAACCCAATGGTCAGTGAATGCTCTGAAGCAGAATGGGTTATGGCTGGCTGTTTACTCCGTGCGAAAGTGGGCTCGCTGTGGCATGCGACACGGTGCCGGACGGGCCGCAATCCTGAATGTTCTTACTTCGAGTGCCAAAGCACCAAGCGACTTTGGTTCTAGGCCTCGGCTGGTGCTGTAGAACACAGCTGCTCTTAAAAGTCACATTTATGATGTGTGGAATGGATGTCATATGAATAAATAAGAATTTTACTAAAATGAACCGTACTTACAGCAGGCATGGCTGGGTTATTTTTGTTAAGGAAACATTTCCATAATCTGAAATAAGATATGAAAACGAGAACTATTAATATTGCTTCTGAAACGAATTGAAATAAAAACAAGCATCAAATACTTCCCGTTACCGTTTTAAAATACTGTTTAGCTAAAGTAATGATTTATCTTTGGCCCTCTCGTGCAATGCACTTAAACCATAGAAATAGCCAATGGCAATACAACGCAGCACTAAGTAGATACCAAAGAAGTCCTACAGCTTCCATCTATGAATGACTAAAACCTAAAGTAAAATATAAAACAGCTAGACTTAGATATTTAAAATAAAAACTAATGAGACCACACCTATAACTATAACTAAACTAGATTTCAAATGAAAATAAACAATAATGTAGCGAGGAATCATAAATGCAGATATTTCCAGACTGTCTTAGTCAAGCATTCCTCAGATTCACTTGTTATCATTCTGATTGTAGAATGTAGAAAAGGTATTTTAATGGTAAATGGACTGCATTTATATAGCGCTTTTCTACTCCTACAAATACTCAAAGCGCTTTACAATTTGTGCCTCACATTCACGCATCCATACACACATTCACACACCAGTGGCGAAGGCTGCCATGCAAAGTGCCAACCTGCACACCGGGAGCAATTTGGGGTTCAGTGTCTTGCTCAAGGACACTTTGACGGGGTCAGGA